AGGGGTCCTGGGCGGCGGGCGCGGGCAGTGCTGCTGGCGCTCATCTGGGGCTACTCGGCGGTCGCCGCTCTGCCTCTCTGCGTCTTCTTCCGAGTCGTCCCGCAACGGCTCCCCAGCGCCGACCAGGTGAGCACTCCTCTGTGCGTGCGGGGCAGGTGTCCTGCGCAGGCTGGGAAGCGGGGCCCCGACGGAAGCTGGGATGAGGCTGATCAACAACAATAGCCATTTATTGCACTTAATCGTTGTGCCAAACCTTGTGCCCATCTCTGTGCAGTTTAATCTCTTAAATCTCACTACAACGCTGTGCACACGCCCTCCTAAATGATGAAAGTGGAGTCCCCCAAATTCTTGCAAAATGCAATGACTGTTCCGAGGTTAATTAATGAGTAGTTTAGGAGCGAGACGGAACTTTGGGGGTGCAGGGTGGCCAATCACTTTGTATTGAATCATTATTCCTCGCCAGGTGTTACAATACTGTTATTATCACGCCCATTTCACAGATGAGAAGCAGAGGCACACCGAAGTGTATAATAACTTGCCCAGAGTATTTTACCCGTAATTCGAGGAGGAGTTGGGCTCCTTCCAGAAGTTTATCGGTAATTCAAGGAGGAGTTGGGCTCCTGTCCAGGGTTGGGTTATGGTCCTGCTTTGAAAGCGCGTGGGCAGGCGCGTGTGACCTAGGGACCCCAGATGCAATGCTGTCTTTAGGGGACTTGTGACGGAATTCCCTTCCGGGGTCTTCAGTATTTTTCAGCTGCACAACGGAAGGATTACACTAGACCTTCAAGGTGTCCTGGGCGCCTGAAATGTGCAGATTACAAAGGCTGGGCCGACGAGCTCTGTTTTACGTAGCGGGTCCATAGTTGTCATTATTAGGTCATGGTGGGGGTTGGGAGTGACCACCATCTGAATAAGGTTCTGTGGATAGTGCAGGACATTGGCTCGGGTCCCCTCGAGTCCTGCGGTCCGGAATCCCGAGCTCGGGTCTTTTTCGTCTGCCGCTTTGTCCCGTGGTTGCAGGGTTCGTGCGCCGAAATCCACCCGGGAGAGTAGACTTAGACGCGGCGTCGCGGTGGAGGACAGTGGCCGCTGTCTGGCTGTCTTCCCAGTGTGTTTGGTTCTCGGTGCCTCGCGGAGAGAGATAGGGAAAGGACCTGGGTCTGTGCACTGGGGGCTCAGCCTCCAGGAGCGTCTGCCGTGGCTGGTTCTTGGTCTCCCCTTCCCTACCGGGGTCGCTGGTTTTCCGGCCCGGAATCCCCTGCCCTTAAGCTCCCTCTCCACGTAGGACTGAGTATGGGGTGCCCTGAGTAATCGTGACATAAACAGGAATCACAGTCCCAAGGAGGGACCTTCTAAGTGGTCAGAGAGGGGAGTAGGGAGGGAGAAATTACATGTCACCAGGGGAAGGCTCAGTGATGGAGATACACACAGCCCACCAGGGACACCCCTGGGTGTGTGACCCTCCAGAGCCTGGAACAGAGAGGTGGTGCTTCTCTGGGGGTTTTCCCAGACCTGTCTCTCACACAGCCCTTTATGGAGGGGGTGGGGTAGGAAGGATGGAGTCTGCCTCCTGTATCCTGTGCGAGTTTTTTTTTTTTTTTTTTAAACATAAACTTAAAATACTTGTTTCTAATGCTTGTGTGAAATACATTGTGAAGTGTTTGTTCGTTTATGGCCTTGAATGATTAACGGGCAGGAGCCCCATTAAGCCTGTGGCACTTGATCAAATAACATGCAAGCTTGTGGCCATGTCCACTCAAGAGGGGTCCAGAGAAGCCAGGATTAGCTGAGCAGGTGGGTGCCATTCACAGGCAGACCACGGGCTGCGGCTTAGTGGGCAGGCTTGCTCTTAGCCCACACACACCTGAGAATCAAGGTGGGCCACGCAGATGCCTCTGAAAGCATGGATCAGGTGGGGGCTGGGCTTCTGCCGTCAGTTTCTTTGATTTTTTTAATAAGTTATTCTCTCAACGAGTTATAGTACTTGTATATTTCTCACAGAACTTGAGGTATTTCACCTCATGTTCTTTCTTACGGGAGAAAATTATGTTCAGGGAATGAAAGAACAGGTAGAATGTATCTTGAAGGTATCTTAAGTTTTCTGATGTGTATTTTGTGCCTCTCCCTTTTTTCAATGATTTCAAGTATAATCCTAATTAACTGGCAAATGACATTAAAAAATAAGACTCTTGTCACTTCCCAGCCAAAGCCCAGACTAAAATTGTGTGCTGACAGGGACACAGGTGACTGTTTGGGTGAGAAGGCCTTGGCATAGGCGAGGGCCTTCCGTGTCTTGGCCACTTAGTGCTGTACCCCTGTTAGGGAATCTGGGTGTGGGTAGAGCCCTCTGTGGTGCTTCCAGAGTGGTCACAGTTGCGCTGCAAGGTGCTTCCGTGGAGGTCAGTGTTGTGATGCCTGGGCACACAGACCTCCCTTGTTTTAATGTTGAAATACTTCCTTGGTTTTAAGAGCCTTTGCTGAGGGATTTGGGCAAAGCCACTGGGAGAGAATGAACCTGCGGTGTGCACTGGGGGCCAGGTGAGTTAGTTACCCACAGGAGCCCTACTCACTGAAATTAGTAGAGGTAAGGTGGGAAAGCTTGAAATTAAAAAAAAAAAAAAAAAGTCCCTGGGCGCAGTGGCTCACACCTGTAATCCCAGCACTTCGGGAGGCTGAGATGGGCGGATCACTTGAGGTCAGGAATTGGAGACAAGCCTGGTCAATGTGGTGGAACCCCGTCTCTATTAAAAATACAAAAATTAGCTGGGTGTGGTGGCATGCACCTGTAGTCCCAGGTACAAGGGAGGCTGAGGCATGAGCATTGCTTGAACCCAGAAGGTGGAGGTTGCAGTGAGCTGAGGTGGTACCACTGCACTCCAGCCTGGCTAGCAAAGCAAGACTCAATCTCAAAAAAAAAAAATTTTTTTTTTAAATTTTAAAAATGGGACAATCTTTTCTGGCTCTCCATCTTCTTTGTCTTCTTTCCTACCTGTCTGCCGCACCCACCCCATCTCTCTCTCTCTCTCTCTCTCTCTCTCTCACACACACACACACACACACACACACACACACACTTTCGCACCTACCTGCCCAGGAACCCAACAAACAGAAAAACCCCAGTTTCTTAAGGGTTGTTGCCTGAACACATAGGAAACATCCCATTTTATAGGTTCAGCAGTTGAAGAAATAAGTTGAAAAGAATGAGAGAAAAAAAAGGAGGAGTGTAGTCATTAAAAAAAAAAAAGCAACAGGAGGATCTGGTCTAGACTGACTGAGTCTCACATTTAAAATTAGCAAAGGCTTGTTTTCTCAATCGCCATATTCCCAGCTTTCTGCTTGTGGATTCTGCCTGCCCCATCCCACTTGGAGACTAAATATGGATGTTTTGGATGGGGGATATTTTCCTAACCCAAACCACACGCTGAGAGAATCAACCAAGCCTAAGCAGATGCTGGCTCTCTCCCCTCAAGGAGCGTTGGCCAAGGAAACTGCCCCTTAGAGCTTCTCCGACCTGAGAGCCCTCCTGAAACAGAAACTCAATCTCTCGTCCATGTGGGCTGTGGGTGCCCAGTAGTTCATGGTAATCAGACTCTAAAACTCCCCTGAAGAGAAGATGAGGGGATAAACATCCTAGAAATGTGAGACAACTTGGTATTTGGAGTGGGCTTTGGAGTCAAACGTTCTGTTTAAATCCCATCTCTGCCATTTGGGAGCTTTGTGACAGAATCCAAGCTGTCTAACCTCTTAGTACCTCACTTTCCTCTTCTGCAAAATGGGCATAATTATAGTATCAACCAACCTTACTGGATCGTCAAGGGCACTGATATTCAGTAAACGGGCCCACACCTGGTGCATACACAGTTAAGCGCATAAGAATTGCTAGTCATTATTAGTTTCCTTATCTTTGAGCATAAACGTTTTAAACATTCTTCAAACAGTATAATTCTTCTGATTGCTGTAAAATAACAGACTGCCATTTTAAGAGGGTGTCAACATCCTAGCAACGTTGACATCTCAGCCAGGTCAGCTCACTCTGCCTCAACAGGATTCCAGCCTGTGTGTGCTGTGGCCCTGGCTGGGTGGTGACCCACGTCGGCAGGTGGAGAAGACTGTCTGTCCTGGCCAGAATGTGCTGCCCATTCATTCTGCAAACATTTACTGAGCACCCTTCCCCTCTTGCCCCTGCCACAAATCATGTAAATCTGCCTCCTTCTCTTCAAGGAGAAGCACACAGATGGTCCTAGATTCTGGCCTAATGTGGTCCTCACAGTCACCCCACCCCATATTCTTTTGTTTATTCTAAAAGAGGAAATCCCTAAAGTCACAGAATGGCAAAAGATGGAACCAGAATGTAGCCCCACTGTTTTGGGTCCCTCTGGATGCCCTCACCCTTGGGCTTATACTTCCTTGGGGCACTTGATCCCATTGCCCCACCCTACCCTAATTTAATACCAGGCTAGTCATGTGAACGTTCACGTGTCTCTGCCAAGTGTGGATTGTCTGAGGAACAAACACAGTTTGCTTGCCTTCATTACAATTAGAGAATACTTTTAAAATATAAGAAAGGAAGCATCTGTTGCGTTGATATTTTCTCTCTTTTTTGCTGGGTAGCTGATAGAAGAGGAAATATCCAACTAGGACTCCTAGGTTCTTAAAATGATCTTGAAGTCTTCCATGTTGATGGCAGGGGTGAGGCATAGGAACAAGGATTTATCAAGGGTCTCCAGAGGTACTGCAGGAAGAATCATCAGAGGGACTGATAGGCAAACAGCTCGAACAAACAGCTGAAACTGATCTGCAAATAGGCAGTGTTTACAAGTAAGTCAGCCAGTGTGGGGAGGGTCAGCATTTCCGGTGCCTGTGGACAGATGTCCCCATCCACAAGGGAGTCTCCTTAGAAAATCTCATTTGGCAATTTTGTCCTGAACACCTAATATGTGTTAGTCAGAATTCTAGGTGCTGGGATGCTGGCTGGAAAAAGGCAGGCGTGGTCCCCATCCTTAGTAACACACTTCAGCGGGGGCTCCAGACAGGGAAGAGGATGATTGCACAAGCTGTGGAGAGCTGTGGAAGGGTCTCTGCTGGGTGTGGGGAGTCCAGGAAGCTATTGGGAGACGACGGTGTCCCCAGTGAGTGTGAAGATGAGAGGAAGTAAGCCAGGCAAGGGGATGGAGACCAGGAGGGCATTATAGGCAGAGGAGAGTCCACATGGAGGCCAAAGGAACAGTGAGTGCTGTTCTGAAACTTGCAAGGGGTTCTCCACCACGCATGTGTACAGCGTGGGGTTCAGTGGGGGCAAAAGACAGTGCTAGAAGGGTTGGCAGAGGAGAGGGAGAAGGGCCAGAGTCGTCCTGGTAGGAAGTTTGAACTTAGTGGTGATGGCCTGGTCTTGGTAAGGGTTGGGGGCAGGTCAGTGAAAATGCGATAGGTGGGTGAGTCAATGGCGATGAAGGAGGAGCTTAGAGATTCCTTCTGAGTGGGGAGGAGGAGGTGGGCAGAAGGCCAGTGCTACGGTTTCTGGCAGCTTGGAGAATGGCGGCCCTGTGCCCTGATTCGGGAAGTGCGGGAATCAGGTGGAACCATTTGGGGATGGGACCTTCAAAGCTTAGTGCGCCTGTGAGGCCTCCTGCTGAGATGTCCAGGCCTCCTGCTGAGATGTCCTCATGGCTACTGGGTGAGTCTGGGGTTCAGGAAAGCACGGAGCTGAAAAGAGTAGATTGGAGCTTTATCTGCAAAAGGAGCCATGGAAATGGGTGAGATAGCCAGGGAGAAGTGGAGACTGGGATGAGGCAGAACACATTTGGGGGATCCAAGTCACACTTATCCCTTCACCGTGAGTGGCCTCCCATTTCATTCCAGAATACTGGTCTGACACCTGAGCTCCGGCCTCCCTATGCCCCTGGCTGCGGTCCTTCCAGGCATAGCAGAAACAGCCCCTCCTAGGTGGCTCTGCCCTCTCTGGTCCTCTGAAGCTCTCTGGGCACTTCCAGCTGCTTGTCCTGTCCTGAAGTGTCCTAGTGCTTCTCTGCCTCCCTCACTGCTGGAGGATAGGGCCAGCGCCTTGCTCTTCCTCACCGTGGCTTCGCTGTGGTCAGCCACCATGTCTGGAGTCGGGTGGTTGAGCAAATGAATTAAAGAAGACTATTGTTGACTCTGCCAATTCCGCTTCTGTAACTCAGTAACAAGGCAGACCTGCCACTTTTGTTTTCCAAGTTCCCTTTTTAAAATCAGGAGACATTTCACATGTGCAGAAAAAGTACAGAGAATATAAGACTCACACCTCCACCTTACAGATTTGACATACTGCCTAACTCCTCTACCTGTCACAGCCTGCGGGAGAATATCTAGAATCAAAACGACTTAAACCAAATGGATTTTCCCACAGAAACCAACTTATGACACCAACTTGGATCTCTGTGGGCATGGCACCTGTTATTTTATTTTTTAATGAGACCAGACAGTGCATTTAGTCAACAATACCATATAAAACCTTCTAAAGAACATACCAATCCATCATTTAGGCCCCCAAGTCAGTTGCACTGCCTCTCAGTTCATGTGTGAGGGTGTTGGGCAGAGTTCTTATCTTACTTCCTTATCACACTTCCTGCCCTGAGCAATAGCCACAAATCAAAAGGTGAGAGAACGTCTTTATTAAAGTCACGGCATTTGGTAGCTTCCTGGGACAGGTTCATTGTCTCTGTAGAAAAATAGCTGGTCAAGTTGGCAGAACTATCATGGTGGTCTGTGTTTCATGTATGATCATCATTTCACTTATAAATCAACTTTTTTCTTTTATAAAAGTAATACAGGCACATCATGGAAAATTAGGAAATTCAGATAAGCCACAAGAATAAAAACAATTTGAGAGTCCCGCCTAGAAATAGACACTTCACTTTCTGGATTGTATCCATCCATGTTTTTTTCTGTGCAAGCAAGCATGTGAGTGTATGTGCAAAAGAGTGTGTGTGTTGGATGGCTATATACTCATTTACACATATACATTCTCTTCAACACACTGGGATCAGAGAAACACATGGTTTAGGGACCTGCTTTTTTTCTTTCATTCCTACTGTAGAGAGAACACCTTGCTCTATCATTATATCCTCCACAAAAGTCTTGCTGACCCTGGAGAGATTTTGGCAGACATTCTGGGAAAGGCTTTTGGAAAGAGTTGGGGGTCTTAAGAAAAGCTTTTGGGCGTCCTCTGTTTTTCTACTGTCCCTTAAAATTTTTCCATCGCAGGAACAGGAATTAGAGACCAAGTCACATTCAGGGCTGGAATCCATTTCTTCCGATTGGTGCTTTAGCGTATCTGCTCATATGTATTGCTACTGTTGTTTTGGAACGAGGGGTCCATAGTGGGCAGAAGCCTGAGTACAAAAGAGGGTGGTGTGGGTGTTCTAGAGAGCAGTGGTAGCCTCACTGCCAGTAATCAGAAGATCCTTGAAAGAAACAGGTTTCTGGCCAGGTATGGTGGCTCACACCTGTAATCACAGCACTTTGGGGGGCCAAGGCAGGTAGATCACAAGGTCAGGAAATCGAGATTATTCTGGCTAACATGGTGAAACCCCTTGTCTACTAAAAAATACAAAAAAAAATTAGCTGGTCATGGTGGTGCACGCCTGTGGTCCCAGCTACTCGGGAGGCTGAGGCGAGGCAGGAGAATCACTTGAACCCGGAGGCGGAGGTTGCAGTGAGCCGAGATCACGCCACTGCACTCTAGACCTCCAGACTGGCAACAAAGCGAGACTCTGTCTCAAAAAAAAAAAAAAAAAAAAAAAAAAAAGCAGGTTTCTTTCCAATTACCGAAATGTGTGAAGCTTTAATAAACTTCCCCCTACCATGTGTTCACACCAGCCCAGTCTTGATTCACTGTTAAAAATTCTCTGCTTTTGGCCTAGTAGAGCATTCAGAATATTGGTCAAGTGAATGAATGAATGAATGGTATTTCGGATGCTAATGCTACTCCTAGACATTGGTTAAGATGCCTTGGCCCTTCAAAATCAATAACGTGGTCTTTTTACACAGCATGTGCTCTTAAAAATCTGTTCTATATGCATGTGTTAGGGCCACTTGTTTTCTAAACAGTTTTGTTTCTGTAGTCAATTGGGCATAGGAATTTTATATGTGGGGAGTTAGTATACACATACACACACACACACACACACAGATATATGTCTGTTTTCATTGGCCTATTTATTCATTGGATGAAATTGTTGCAGAAACTATTTGTAACTATTCAATAAGGTCTCCATATGTTTCAGTTCTCGCAGTTAGTGTTAAACATTTGAATCAATACAACCTAGTGATAGCAGCAAGATCACGAACCTTCACATTCTTCTGCCATATTCCATTGGTTTTACATCTTGAACTGTCTGTGAGTGGAGGCTGATCTTTGCCTTGGGGCTCTAGACGGCCAGGTTGATGCAGCTCAACACACTTTAGACACCTGAGCACCCTCAGCATGAACACTTAATGCTTTAGCACAGACCCTGTGGCCTTCGGCTTACACAGTGTGACTACAGGGAAACCTAGTTCCTGTTTCGATGTGTTTGTTACGTAGCATGTCCTTTCCAATCTCTGTAACCTTTCAGGGGTCCGTTTTCTTTGTTGTAAAATGGCAGGCTTGGAAGAGAAGGCTCAAAAGCCCTTTGCATGTCAGCCCAGGGAAATAGAAAGACCACACCTGGGAACCGACTCTAACTCTTACCACCCTGTAAGCCTGAGGCTCAGTTGCTGTCCCTGGAGAACGGGAAACACAATCGTGGCTATTCTGAGGGTCAGGGGCAAGTGCTTTGTAAGTGGAATTGTGGTGGGCAGTGGGAGGGATTCTGGGGTTCAGTGTCATGCTAGTTGTGTAACTGGGAAATGCAACCGCGTAAGTGTCAGGAAACCCTCACTAAGACTGAGCCAGAGGCCAATAAGAAGTCAGCATTTACATGATGTTCTTTTCCTTTTTGTAACCAGGAAATTTCGATTTGCACACTGATTTGGCCCACCATTGCTGGAGAGATCTCGTGGGACGTGTCTTTTGTTACTTTGAACTTCTTGGTGCCAGGACTGGTCATTGTGATCAGTTACTCCAAAATTTTACAGGTATGTTTGTTTCAAGTGCTACCACTGAACTTCACTCAGACTTGGGGTTATTTCTGCTAGAATCTTAGAATTTGGGGTCGGAGAACACCTAAGAGTTCACGCTCAGTCTTGATTCACTGCCCAGGTCTACAGCACTGAGGAAGGAGAGGGTGTTTTTTTTAAAGTTATATCTTTGTGATTATGTTTTTGCTCATCACTAAAGTAATACCAGGTCATTACAAAAAATTAAATTAAAATGAAAGAGACACATAAATGTAAATAACACAGAAACTGAAAACTTGCTCTACCTTCTTAACAACTCAAGATGTATTTTTTCAGGTTATTTTTCTTACAAGCTTATGTATGTGTTTTGTATACTGTGTGTGTATTTGATGAACCACATGAAATTGCAGGTTCAAATGGTCAAACGGTTATCTGACGCTGTTCAATGTTCTTTTCAGATATGAGATAATACTCTCTGCTCTGTAACTCCTTTTTTTCACTTAACATTATATCTTAACATCTTTCTACATCATCCCTATATCTCTAGCTCATTATTTTTAGTGGCTACAGATGTGACTTCATTTATTTTATGGTCTTTTGGGCTGTGTCCATTGTTTCCCCATCGCAAACACTGCAATACTGGAGAATGCATACATTTTAAAACATTTTATTGAAGTATTATACACATACATAAAAAGCACACTGAGCATAGGTATAGGCTCTAACTGAGTGCATTCATGAAAGCAGCTCCCAGGTCAAGAAACGGAATATTACCAGAAGTCCCTCCTATTATCTTCCAGTCGCTACTCCACCCAACCTCAGGGAATGTCCATTTCAAATGTGCACTGAAACAGGAAATGATCTCTACCTTCAAAACAAATATGTACAGGGACATAAAAAGGACGAGTCAGCCTGTTTTATATCTCTTAAGGCAGCCCATTTGTGAGTAAGTTGCCTGCCCAGGCAAACAGCATGGGTGCATTCATGTTTATGCCCATTTTAGAAGGTTTACTGCAAAGCCCTTGAACCCTCGTGGAGGTTTATAGTTGTTGAATCTTGGTTTTACAGTGTCTCATGTGTGGGTCATCTGGCAAGTAGGCACATTGAAGTGGTGCCCTGTAGGGCCTGCTCACCGTCTGGTCACTTTTATGGCCCTTTCTTTGCACCTGAGGGTCTGTAACCTTCTTAGATGCTCAGAACCCATAGCCAGGCCAACCTCCATCCAGGTCTGCTAATCCCTGGGTCCTGTGGGAGATGGCCCCTCCATGTCACTCATGAGACTCTTGCCCACCCAATGACCACTAAAGTGACACCCAGCCTGGGGCTTGTTCAAGTGCAGGAGGTAGATTCAGGCCTGGAGTTAAGGTCTGGACAGTGCTTGTGATGGGACCAGACATATGATAGTGCTATATAAGTGTTAGCTGTTATCATTAAGTTAAAATGAGAGAAAAAAGAAGATAAACGTAGAACTTTGTGAGAGAAAAAGGAAGATAAATGTAGAACTTATTTAACAAATATTTACATAGTGTTGATCCTATGCCAGGAACTAACTCTTTAATTCTAATAAGAATAACAGATGAAGAAACCCAGGCAGAGGGAGGTTAAGTAACTTACCCAAGGTAACACAACTTGTAAGTGGCAATCAGGATTTAAATTCAGGCAGTCTGACCCTAGAGTCCCAGTGCATTAATTCCTCAGACTACCCTGTGCACAGTGCTTGGGGGAAAGGAGGTGGGCTAAAACCGAGCAAGACACATGCTCTATCCAGAAGGACCTTTGACATAGAAGGGGAAGAGGGAGGAGACAAACAAGGATGCTGATATTGAAAGCAGAGAAACTGAACACAAGGTGGAAGATACTGAGACTTTGCAAACACTTTGCAAACTGTTAAATGCTACACAAACGTAAGGGACGAATAAGGGGTATAAGAAAGAAGAGCAGGCCAGGTGTGGTGGCTCACGCCTGTAATCCCAGCACTTTGGGAGGCCGAGGTCGGCGGATCACCTGGAGTCAGGAGTTCAAGGCCAGCCTTGCCAACATGGTGAAAGCCCGTCTCTACTAATAATGCAAAATTCAGCCTGGCGTAGTGGTGGGCGCCTGTAATCCCAGCTACTGTGGAGGCTGAGGCAGGAGAATCGCTTGAACCCAGGAGAAGGAGGTTGCAGTGAGCCGAGATTGCACCACTGCACTCCAGTCTGGGCAACAAAGTGAGACTCTGTCTCAAAAAAAAAGCAAAAGGCCATGAAGACAGACAAAGAGACTTGACAGTGTTATTTTAACAATCTGGGTTTGAGTCTTGAATCTGCCACTTACTTGCTGTGTGGCCTTGGCCAGGTTAGTTACCATCCCTGGGCCTCGGTTTCCTCATCTGCAAAATAGCAAACATAATGCCAGCAGTGTAGAGGTGTCATAAGGCATATAGGAGATGCTACTGATGGGACAGAGAGAGCCATGCCTGCCTGTCGCAGGCGATGAATAAATTATGACGGTCGTGATTTGTTAGGCAAGGCTGCTCTTCCCACCCTTGTCTCAGAGCATGCTGGGAAAAGGTGCTGCTAAGATTTGCAAGAGAATAAACAACAGCCCAGATTTGGAGCACATCAGGAACAAGGAATTGACGCTAGAGCAGGGCTGGCTGGAAGGGGCGGCAGCATTTGATCTCCTTCCTGGAGGTCTCACTCCTGAGTTCCTTAGGGGCCAAGAGGGCTGTGGTCTGACCCTTTTCACTCGTACCTCACACTTCTCAGCTGCCTGCTGAGGGAGGAATGATTTTCCACCCACCCCCATCTTTTTCTCAAGGCCAGGGTCTACCTGGAAAAATTCTATGAGACCTGAGGAGTTGGGGCAGGTGTCCTCTTAGCAACCCACCTCTAAACAGCAGTTTACTCTTGAAGCACCTTATGTCTAAACCCACAGCCAACCTTCACTTCTCCCCATCACAGACCTCAGAACAGCTCCTGGATGCAAGAGCTGTCATGACTCACAGTGCGGTGAAAGGGCACTCTGAGTAACAGAGTAACAGGTCAAATATATAATTTACATTCTATCACCATCCTCACCTTAATGCCCTGTGTGGTCTGGCCCTGCTGCCTTTCTCACCTTCATATTTCACCCTCCCTTGTGTCCACATTGGCCTTGAGGCTGTACTGTGCACTTCTGTCCCAGGGCCTTTGCACCTGCCACTTGTTCTCCTGGATCTCTCTTCTCCAGATTTCTGCATGGGCCACTTCCCCACTTCATTTAGTCTTTACTCAAAAAGTTCTTCACCAAAAAGTCTTCCCATCAATCTCCAATTCCTTATCCTGATTTATTTCTCTTCAAACACTTACTACACCTGTCATATTCAATTTATGACAGTCATCTGTCTTGCCCACTACAATGCAAGCTCCATGAGAGCAGAGGTTTTGGTTTGTTCACTGCTATATTCCTATGCCTAGGTCAGAGCCTGACTCATTCATTGTAGGTGCTCAATAAATATTTGTTGAATGAATGAGGCATAAGCCTTGGATCACATTGAAAGGGTCTATAGGGTAGTCTCTTCTTGGACAGTGGGACAATCACTGAACAGAGAGTCCTAAGACAGTAGTTCTAATCTAGGCTGTATCACTGTGTGACCTTGGGCAAGTCACTTAAGTAATGTGATCCTCAGTTTCTGCAGGAGCCAAATATGCCTCTGGATTAACACAATAAAATGAAAGAGCAGATATAATAATGTTTTAAAAATCACAATTTTAATCCAAATATCACTTAAAAATTACTTTCCACCTTATTAGCAAAATTCACTGTTGCCCATTTCCCAGGAGGACTATGACATTTGTCCTCGCTTGGTACCATGAGTTTGCCAGGCTGATAACTTGGAAGCAGGCAATCTATACCAGGTGGATGGAGTGTCTGGGCAGGGCCTCAGTTTGCAGCTCCTCCTCTGTGAAGATATACTTAACTCAGAGATACTGAGTCAGCTTTTCTGTACAAGCTTTTTCTGTGAAGCTTGGTTTTACATAACTCTGTAAAATAAATTGAACATCAATGTTAATTAGGCATAATAACAGACAATTCACAAATTGTTTGAAGCCCTGGGATACATAACTATAGCCCTTCCAGTCCCACTTCTCACCTGTCACTAGCTCCTGTAACCCAGGTCTCATCTCCAGGCTTGAGAAGTGTCTCTTTTTCACATCACCCTGGTCTTCTATTGCTCTAAAGCAGTATGTCTTCTAGAATGTTCTGTAGAGTGCCATGGGAATGTTAGGTGTTAGAAAGGGTTTGGGAAATGCTGGGATAGGCTAGATGGGATTCTTTGCTGCAGGACTTCCCAGAATGTTTATTATGCCAATATACTTTGAGGATCTCTCACACAGTAATAGAACAGGTATCATTGCTAAACGTGACTACAGAACCCCCTTTTCTCCACAGAGCATCTGTCTGCGCTGGTGCTCTATGGAATGCCTTTTTGGAAACCCTGCTCTAAAGTCTCCACCCTCCTTCCTGGTTCTGACCTGGGCAAGAATTCAAAGCAGGCTTCGCCCTGGCTCTTTCCCTACTGCCCACCCTTCAGGGGCAGCTTCATGTGCTTGAGGCAGTGGCCTTATTCACCCTTCTGCCCTCCCTGCTTCCTCTTTCCTTGTTACTCAGACACACCATACATCTTCAGTGATTTTTTCCAATCAACAGTTTTCCCAAGGGAATAACCTCCCAGCAACTCCTAAGTGCCTTCAGATCAGGTTGTAACCACTGTTTGGGGCTTGCTTGACGTCATCGCCCAGCAACTGTTGCCATGGCAACTGAGATGCCTCTACCCTTTTGTAACAGTAGATGTTTATTGATCCCCCTCTCATTGCCCACATAGGCACCAGAATGGAAGAGCAGCGTGGGCGGAGCTGCCTTGCTTATTGCTGTGTGTCCAGCACCTATGAGTGCTTAGCACATAGCAGGAGCTTATAAATATTTGTTGAATAAGTGAGTCTGTGGCTTGCAGATGGAAAACCCTCAGCCTGTCTCAGGGCTTAACTGAGAAACAAAATCTGTTTCTGCAGAACACGAGACGTTAGACAGTGAACACAAAGCCCTTTCTCCACGCCTGGCCTGCATTCCCCAGCTTTGGGGGCCTGCATGCTGGTCACGAAAAGGGAGGTGGAGTCTCTGGGAAGATGGAATCTTCCGTCCAGTGATTCTAAATGGGAGGCTGTTGATTGACCAAGCAGCCCCCAGAGAAGACTCAACCTTCAGGGGCCCAACGTTGTCAGTAGGAACACCCTCTACCCATCCCCACATGTTGGCAGCAGTGGTCTGCTGGCATGGGGTGGCAGAAGGGTGTGAGGTGGGGTGGAGGATCCCCCACCGTCTTCAGAAGCTCATGTGAGTGTGGAGGCAGTGAGTCTCAAAAAGGTCTCTCTTCAAAGGACTGGGGGGAACTTGAGACGGAGCCTGTTGTCCTAGATGAGCAGCTGCAACACTTTCGTGGGCAAGAATCACCTGGGGAGTTTAGGAAACTTGCAGATTTCTGGGCCCCACCCAGCCCCACACAATCCGAATGTCTGAAGTGGCCCCCAGCATTTGCATTTCATCATGTACCCAGTGGCCGTGGATCACATTCCCTAGAAGCTATCCGCCTCTGCTGAGGCACTGTGCCTCAACGGAGAAGAGCACTGGCACCTGGCATGGGGTACACTCCCCTACTTCACCGTGAGGCCGCGAGCAAGTCAATTCCCTTCTCAGGGCCTCTGAGTTCCAAAACGGCGGCAACCACAGAACCTATCCCAGAGGCTTGTTCTGAGGATTAGGATTAATCCTTGAAAGTTAATTGAGCATTTAGTTTAATCCAAAAGCACATCAAGCTTTCTGCGCAATGCAGGAGACATTTGCAATCCTGGATCAATGTTAACTATCCTTGACAACTAGCATGGGGAGAGGAGGAGGAGAGGAGCCACATCTGGTTATAGAGCCCCATTTTCTTCCTCACCCCCTACCAGCAGTGGTAACTGTGGAGAGAAGGAGACAGTAGCATCTGTCAGTGCTAAAAAAGATCCAGGCCGGGCGCGGTGACTCACACCTGTAACTCCAGCACTTTGGGTGGCCGAGGCAGGCGAATCACCTGAGGTCGGGAGGTCAAGACCAGCCTGACCAACATGGAGAAACTCCATCTCTACTAAAAATACAAAATTAGCTGGGTGTGGTGGTGCATGCCTGTAATCCCAGCTACTCGGGAGGCTGAGGCAGGAGAATCGCTTGAACTGGGAGGCGGAGGTTGCAGTGAACCGAGATCCCACCATTGCTCTCCAGCCTGGGCAACAAGAATGAAACTCCGTCTCAAAAATAAATAAATAAATAAATAAATAAATAAATAAATTTTAAAAACCCCATCCACTTTTGCACTTGGCCCATGAGTCAGCCCACTTTGTTTGTCTGTCACCCACAGCCATTGTCAGGCCCCTGCTAGGGCTCTGGGCCGCAGAAGACACAGGCATGCCTTGCTTCAGCTCCCATCCCCCAAGGAACCGGCAGTCTGCTGGGGGTCTGTGTTAGTCTGTTCTCACACTGCTTTAAAGAACTGCCTGAGACTGGGTAATTCATACAGAAAATTTACAGCTTTCGTTGACTCAGTTCCACATGGCTGGGGAGGCCTCAGGAAACTTGCAATCATGGCAGAAGGGGAAGCAAGGACCTTCTTTGCATGATGGCAGGAGAGAGAAGAGAGTGAGCAGGAGCAGGGAAAACTCTTATAAAACCATCAGATCTCATGAGAACTCATTCACTATCACAAGAACAGCGTGGGGGAAACTGCCCCCATGATCCTAACATCTCTCACCTGGTCCCTCCCTCCACACGTGGGGATTACGGGAATTACAATTCAAGATAAGATTTGGGTAGGGACACAGATCCAAACCGTATTCGGGTCAGAGGTAAGAAGGACGCCTGGACATCTACCACATAGTGTATGTGGCAAGTGTCGCATGAGTGTCTGAAACAAAATGCTGCAGGATGCCAGGCGGGAGATGAAACACGAATCCTTCTCAGAGTTCCTGGCATTAGCGTTTGGAGTTGAAGGCTGGGCAGAAGGATTCCCACAGGCGGAGATAGTAGAGAGTGGGAAAGAACTAGTTTATGATAAAGAGAATGGGCTGGCGTCAGGCTGCCAAGTTGGCAGTCCACCTCTGCAACTTCTTAGCTGAGTACTGCTGGGCAAGTTTGGTAAGCTCTTTGAGCCTCAGCTTCCTCATTTGTAAAATGGCACATATGTCACAGCACATATGTCACAGAATTGTTGGGAGAATTTAAAAAGGTAAACTAAGTGATAGGTAAGGGCCTGGCACATAGTAGGTGCTTCATAAATGTGAGCCTTCATCAACATCACTCATCAAAAAGCATTTTTGTGACACTACACCAGGGACCCTGGGTACATTGTTGCCCTTCTTAGGATGGTGTGGGTAGCAAGAGGGACGAAGTTGCCGTCAGAATCAGCCCTTGTGGGCCCCCAGCCTGTGCTTAGGCCTCAAGCAACACCCCTACTCAGAGGTGGTGCCAGTTCCTCCACAGTCCGCCCACCTGACACCCTGCCCAGCTGAGATTCTCCTAGATCTGACAGCCAAGGCAGGTTCCTGAGATTAACCAGGTTTCACCTGAACACAAGTTCTACCTTTGATTCTACATAGTGATTTCCAGACTTGGATGTGCCAATACAGCCTCCAGCATTTGAGCCCGAGGTGGTGCCCTGTGTCTCCTGAGCAACCTTCACCCTGCAAAGCCATCGAAGGGAGGGGAGGGCTGAATAGTGTGGCCATCCCTTTTGAGCCTTTTGTGATTTGTCTCATATTTAATCCCACTGAGCTAGATTTTCAGAGATGGGGGCTCTGACCCTGTATTATCAGTGGAGTGACCTTCCACACGCTTCTTAAATTTCTTGAAATTCAATTTCCTCATCTGGGAAGTGGGAACAATGATAGTGCAAATCTAAAGAGTAGGTGTGAAGATTAAATGTGACGATTGAGAATCAAATGTGCGGCACAGTGCCGGTCACATGGAAGCCCTCAGTAAGGCTAGAGGTCCGTATGACTGTGAGGCTGTTCACTCAGCATCTGTTGCCCTGGTCTCCACTATCAACAAGTGGACCTAAACTCCTGCACAGAGCAAGCAGCCACATTGAATCATAAAACAAACAACTATCCTTTAATTAGCTAGTTACAAGTTTTTTTTGTTTTTTGTTTTTTTTTTTTTGAGACAGGGCCTCACTCTGTCACCCATGCTGGAGTGCAGTAGCGCAATCTCAACTCACTGCAACCTCCACCTCCTGGGTTCAAGCGATTCTCATGCTTCAGCCTCCTGAGTAGTTGGGATTACAGGCGCCCACCACCACGCCCAGCTCATTTTTTTGGTATTTGTAGTAGAGACAGGGTTTCACCATGTTGCCAGGGTTGTCTCGAACCCCTGACCTCATGTGATCTGCCTGCCTCGGCCTTCCAAAGTGCTGGGATTTGAGGCATGAGCCACCGTGCCCGGCCTAGTTACAAGTATTCTAACGGGAATATTTTCAGCCATTCTGATCTTGCAGTTAAACTGGCCTGAACTGTGAATGATGTTAATTACCTTCTAATTACTCCCCGTCTTGAGATTCAGGAGTCTTGGGGGACACCTGTAGGATCTCCTGAAAGAAGAGTCCAGAATCCCCTTCTAAGCCCACATAACCAGGGCTGCCTTCATTGCCTGCCATGCCTCTGCTTCACTGCCAGCCCTGCTCATTAATACAAAATATTAGAGGTCCCAGCAGCTCCACTTGGTAGGAATTTATTCTGCCGATATGCTCACCTAGGTGTGCAAGGATATGCATGAGGAGGCTCATTCCCCCAGTTGCCACCTCTCAACAGCGGACATAAATATAAAATGGTCATTTTCCATAAACATCACCAGCAGTGCTCTGACCAGCTCCTCTGTCTTGCTGGGGCAGGGGCACCTTTAATGACACCTGTGTCTGATTTACAGCGCTTTCCAGTCACTTTTTGGTTATTTACAATGTCAGTCTCACAGTCAGTTCAAAGCTTCCCCTGCCCGAGGCATAGGATGTGGGTGTGTGGTGCTGGAGCTGGGAGGAGGACAGAGAAGGAGGATGGGCTGCCCTGCCAGTGGTCTCGTCTCCCACAAGGACAAGGAACTTGCATGATTGCCCATATGAGGTGGTTGCCCCGTCTGTTGGTCATTGCCTCTGATTTCCCTGTGTCTGGTGGTGGTGCCAACAGGCCCTGCTGTTGAGGGGATCATTCCCAAGCAGCACCCACTCCAACCCATGGGTGGGCCCTTCCCACACCCACTCCCACGAGGTGTGGGAAGACCCTTCCCACACACTCAGCTTCATTTTCAGGTTGGCTCCTGACAGCAGCTGCTCCAGCAAATGAGCAGCCTCTGATCACTTCATCCTTCCTTACCCCCTGACTCCGGGGCCTGTAGGCAAGACTAGGATCCATTTTCTCCTGCTCCTGCTAAAGGAAAGGAACCTAGGGTGGGGTCCAGTGCTCCCTTCTGCCTGGCCTGCCACACTGGTATGCCATCTCCCACTCAACAACCTGTAGGGGAGTGACATGGTTTGACTGTGTCCCCACCCAAATCTCATCTTGAATTGTAGTTCCCATAATCCCCATATGTCATGGGAGGAACCCGGTGGGAGATAATTGAATCATGGGGATGGTTTCCCCCAAGCTGCTCTCGTGATAGTAAGTTCGCACAAAATCTGATGGTTTTATAAGGGTCTTCCCTCTTCGCTTGGTTCTCATTCTTCTCCTTCCTGCCGCCATGTGGAAAAGGACACATTTGCTTCCCCTTCTGCCGTGATTGTAAGTTTCCTGAGGCCTCCCCAGCCCCGCAGAACTGTGAGTCAATTAAACCTCTTTCCTTTATAAATTATCCAGTCTTGGGTATGTCCTTATAGCAGCATGAGAACGGACTAATATAGGGAGAGAGGGGAAGAGTATGCATACTGCTACTTCAGTTGCTACCTCCCCAAACAAGGCCAAAGAAATAAAATACTCCTCAATAGGGGCTGAATAAATTGCAACCACCATTTATAGAAGATAACAAGAATAAGGTGCCTTCTCTGTGCAGAGGTGGCCCGAGCACCATGATATATTGCTAGGTGAAAAAGGAGCGAGGCCCGGAGTGTGGTGCGTGGTGTGGGCCCATCTGTGTACCAGCAGAAGAGCAGATGCCTGCAATCCCACAGCCAGGAATATTGTGTGTGGTGGTGGTGCATTTCCAGAAGGCCATATGGAAAAATACTTACGCTGGTCACCTCTCAGGGTGGAAATGGAGGGCACAGAAGGCTGGAGACCTGATGTTCTTCGTTTGCTCCCCATCAGAAGAGCATTGAGTTTGTACCCTGAGCACATTGTGCTTGCAAACAATTAAAGAGTCACCCCTTTTAAAAAAATAACGGGGAAGATGTCCCTCTTCTAGACCACCCAATTCAGGCTTTTCACTTCCCCTCATAACTCTGTTTACGAGGTAGGTGATTTTCTGCTTTATTTCTCAGGAGTCCAGCCAGGGGTCCTGTTTCTCCAGCACATTCTAAGCTTGGGCAGGCAAAGTCCCAGAGGCACACAGCCTCAGTGCCTTGGGGATAGCAGATTCCACCCCCTGGGCCCCTAACTCAAAACCCCCAACAACCCTCAGTCACCTGTGGCTCCAGTCCTGTTTTGGTTTTCCACAGATCACAAAGGCATCAAGGAAGAGGCTCACAGTAAGCCTGGCCTACTCGGAGAGCCACCAGATCCGCGTGTCCCAGCAGGACTTCCGGCTGTTCCGAACCCTCTTCCTGCTCATGGTCTCCTTCTTCATCATGTGGAGCCCCATCATCATCACCATCCTCCTCATCCTGATCCAGAACTTCAAGCAAGACCTGGTCATCTGGCCGTCCCTCTTCTTCTGGGTGGTGGCCTTCACATTTGCTAATTCAGCCCTAAACCCCATCCTCTACAACATGACACTGTGCAGGAATGAGTGGAAGAAAATTTTTTGCTGCTTCTGGTTCCCAGAAAAGGGAGCCATTTTAACAGACACCTCTGTCAAAAGAAATGACTTGTCAGTTATTTCTGGCTAATTAGTTTTTCTTTATAGGCAGAGTTTCTCACACCTGGTGAGCTGTGGCATGCTTTTAAACAGAGTTCGTTTCCAGTGCCCTCCATCAGCATACCCTGCTTTAAGAAAATGAACCTATGCAAATACACATCCACAGCATGGGCAAATCAAGGGGTGATCATCCAGTTTCGCAATATTTTCCCTTTATAAAAGGATCTGTTGGCCAGGTGTGATGGTTCATGCCTGTAATCCCAGCACTTTGGGAGGCTGAGATGGGTGGATCACATGAGGTCAGGAGTTCGAGACCAACCTGACCAACATGTTGAGACCCCTATCTCTACTAAAAATAAAAAAAAAAAATTAGCTGGGAGTGGTGGTGGGCACCTGTAATCCCAGCTACTTGGGAGGCTGAACCAGGAGAATCGCTTGAACCTGGCAGGCAGAGGTTGCAGTGAGCCGAGATCGTGCCATTGCATTCCAACCAGGGCAACAAGAGCGAAACTCCATCGTTTAAAAAAAAAAAAAAAAAAAGGATTTGTTATGGGTTCCTTTTAAATGTGAACTTTTTTAGTGTGTTTGTAATATGATCGAATTTAATAAATATTTATTTATGACTGTTCAGCAATCACATCTCCTACATATAAAGCCACACCATAGTGGTTTCTGAAGTGAGTCTTAGAACCGATTCAGGACACAGATTTCTCCTCTGAAGGGTCGCAGCCACCCTGTGCCCTACCTTGGACTCACAAGACTTTAGGATCATTCACTGATGTCAAGAGCAATTGAAGAATTTCCAAGAAACAGTTAAGGGTGACTTATTATTTTTTTTTTTTTTTCGTTTATAAAAAATGCCATGGGCCCTTTTAAGAGAATCAGTGTCACAAAATCAGAGAGAAAGTAGGATGACTCTGAAATGTTTGCGAGTGAGTTCACGGAGTGGTTTACTCCTGATCCATCCAGCAGAGATGCTGCTTAAGCACCAGCCATGGCAGACAGTGTTCTCTGTGCTGGGAATTCAGTGGTGAACCAGACAGCCATGGCCCTCTCTCAGGGAGCTTACCTTCAAGTCAGGGATAGAAAAACTAAATAAAAGTCAGTAAATTATATCTATATACAGATATATAGATATATTTGAGATGAGGGTCTTGCTCCAAGGCCCAGGCTGGAGTGCAATGGCACAATCATGGCTCTCTGAAACCTCAAATGCCTTGGCTCAAGCAGTCCTCCCGCCTCAGCCTCCCAAGTAGCTGGGATTACAGGTATGAGCCGCCATGCCTGGCTACAAATCAATAAATAGCATAGCATCACAGAGTGAATAAGCACTGTGAAGAAAATGGGGCGGGGGCTATGGCAGTGATAGGAACTTAGATCAGGTGGGGGGAGCCTAAGAAGACCTTTCTGAGGAGTGACATTTGGATCAAAAGGCAAGCGACAAGAAAGGGCCACCTGTGTGAATAGGGGGCAGGGACACAGAAGAGATGTTAGTGCAAGGAGGCTGACATGCTTGTAGGGAGAGTGGTGTAAGCCGACTATTGATGGAGCCTCCTCTGCACTAGGCACTGCCTTTAATGCTGAGACGAGGGGTACCCAGCTGGGGCCTGTCAGATGAGGCCAGAGAAATTGCAGAGCTAGATCACATACGGCCTAGGAGTTTATTCTGTGCTCCAAGCCCCTGGAGGTTTGCAACTGGAGACTGACGTGACCTGATGAATGTGTGCAAAGATTACCCTGGCTGCCGTGCAGGGAATAGACTCTGAGGAGCATGAGTGAAAATGGAGACCAGTTGGGCAGCTGCTGAAGTGGAACAAGGGGATGGGACCTTGGAGGTGAGTGGCATTAGGGAGGGATCGTGAGAAATGACTTGTAAATATACTTTGGGAAGGTAAAACAAAGATGATTTATTGATGGAAAGGATGGAATTGATAGAATGCGAGGGAAAGAGAGGGTTCAAGGGGAATACCCTGATTTTTTAGCCTGTCGTGAGTTGGATGGTGAAGCAGGCAACAAAAATGGGGGAGCCTGGGCAAAGATTAGGGGTGGGGGAGCCAAGAGTTTCATTTGGAGCTCATAAGTTTGAAATCCCAGTGAGACTTCCAAATTGAATAGGCAGTTGGATGCAGAAATGTGGAGCTTGGGCCTGGAGATGCACATTGTTTGGAGTTATAAACGGTGTTTATAGGCCTATGGTTTTACAAAACCTCCCTTGGAGAGAGAAAGAAAACCAGAGTCAAAGATTGAACCCAGGGACACTCCACCACTTGGAGGTTGGGCCAGTGGCTGGAATGCACAGCAGCACAGGGCCTGGCGTATAGTAGGTGTTCAACCAATCTTTGTTGCTGGTGAGGAAATCAGCACCAGCAGTAGTGACTGCTTATGCAGTCTCTGGAGCAACTTGCTTCTGAAGTCAGATTCATGGAAATCACAAGCTCGAGGACAAATGAACAGAGATGTTCTGCTCACTTTAGTTAATAGATTTGATCAATTAAACCTGTTTTTGGAAGTGATGTGTGGTAATCTTATTGAAGCGGCATCGCTGTCTGGGGTAAATAACAGGAATTTGTCATCTTGTGCCAAGAGGATTAAGGACATGGACATAGGCGGGTGGGTTAAGGAGCAGAATGTTTAATAGGCAGAAGAAAGGAGAGAGGAGAGCAGCTGTCTCTCTCATGAGACAGAAGCATCTGAAAAAGGAAAAGTGGTGGACCACAGCATATTTTATAGGCAGGCTTGAGGAGGTGGTGTCTGATTTACATAGGGCTCACAGATTGGTTTGACCAGGTGTGACGTTTACATAGTGTGGGAGAAAGGCTGGCCGCCCCACCCAAATCTGATTATGCAAATGGACTTTCCACTTGGCCATCTTGTCTGCTCCTTACTGCACTCATGGCTGGCAAAAAGGGAAGATGGAACCGCCATTTTGAACATGCTTAGTCTTAGGTAGTACATTCCAAAGGACACATCTGCTGGCATTCACCCATGCAAGCTTCCAACTTGCTTGTCTATGTGTGCAGCACGATTTTACAGGCCGCTCTTTGTTAGAAAAGGATTTAGGGGCTGCTTTTCAATAAAAGGAAAATCTTATCAAAGACTTCCGTACCCTCGCTATCTGCCTAAGTAATTTCTTTTTAACTCCTATATCATTATGGTTCCCTGAGGTTGTCAAACTGAAGCTGCGGAGCAAGGCTCTGACAGCCTTGACAGCCTGTGGTTCCGTGAGAGAGGAAGGCAAAGCTCTCCCATGCACATCACCTGTCTCCTCTGTCTTTGGTGGAGAACGCTAGCATGGGGCACCCAGGAGCCTCTCACGGTCCCTGGATATCCCAACACCCTGGTGGAGATCTGTGACCCTTTCCTCACTCCCAGTGCATTTCATAGACGTCAGCCTGGCATCACCAGTTTTACAGCTCCCCAGAGCTCTAACAGACATTGCCTAATTGAATCCTCACTGCAGCCCATCAGGCAAGGACTATTTTCCCTTATCTCCCAAGAAAAGAGTGAGGCTCAGAGAAGCCTTATAACCAGCCCCAAATCCACAGCTAATATGTATCTGAACCAGATGTGCACTTAAACCAAGACCCTCTGGTATCAAAGCCTTGCTGCTGTTTTCAACATGAGAAATGGAGGCGCTGGGAACACCTGAAAAACTGAGGCAAGTGGCCTTGCACCCATACACTAGGGTTCCCACGTGCTGCTAATGATGCAGGATGTTGGTGTTCTGTCCCAGCCCCTGCTACTTACCCCCCACCCAGCCCCTCCCTGCACTCCAGGTGCTCTGATCTTTCCTATAGAATGAGATTCCAGAGCCCCATCTTCCAATTTCCCCAGAGGCCTCTGTCCTCCCCCTCAACATTTTGCCTACAACTGAAAGAGGTGAGTTGCATGCTAGAGACAATAAAGGGCTAAGGAGTGTTTCCTAGAGCTCACTTTGCTCCCTGTGGCTCAGCCTCTCAAATCCAGCGTTGGTGAGCTGCCAGCCCGCCCACCTCATAGGCCTAGGGCTGACTGAGGCCTTGGGCTCACTGGCCTGACCTATCTACTCACTTCCTCTTTTGGCACCAGTGCTTTAGCCAGGCTGGTAGGTAAGACTTTCCTAAGTGACAGAGGAAACCTCTTTTTCAGGAAGTTGGGAGAAGCCAGTATTTAATAATGGAGATTAGGCGCTAGAACAGGCCAAAGGTCAGAAAGAGCCGCGTGCTCCTGGTATAAAGAAGCGCACCCCACCCGTCCATCTGCAGCACAGACACAAACACAAATGAAAACTCAAATCACACGACATGGGTGACTATATTTTAATGAATCAGAGTCTGGAATCTTAAGCCTCAGAAACTTTCAGGAAAGATATTTACCTGCAAGCAGATTCACTGACCCCTACGTGTATCCTTATGTGTAATGAAGGTTTTATGGGAAACGAGGGAAGATGGGAAGAGAAGGGCAAATTAAACTCCTAAGATAAATAGAGTTGAAGACTGAGAAATAATCAGAAGTTCTCAGATGAAACTAGATTATTGATGTTGCTACAAAAGGTTTCTTTCTGATCTGCCATCACAGTAACCTGGAAAATACAAAACAAAGCCATTAACGACAGAAAGTGGACCCAGTTTTTATGTAGATAATGAACATCATGATGGCCTTGGAGCTGGCTTCATTCAAATGTCTCTTAATTCAAATGCATCACAGCAGATCGCAACCCTTAAGGTTATAGTTGGCTGTAATTCATCAACACCTTCAAGGCTGTTTCTGAAACCCACTGAATTTCTCTGGACATAATGGGGGTGGGGAGAATAAGACCTGCTGATGAACAGGGCTTCCTTTGATTTCTCTTTTAAGTCTGCCTTATTGCATTTCAAAGTGTCGGGGGCCATCCTTAGCTTTCAGGAAGTGGGGGCCAAGGCAGCCTGACCTGGGACACACTGGTGATGGTTTTATAAAGTATTTCCATGTCTCATGTCATGTGTCACCAGATGGTGTGGCACAAGAGACTTCAGAGTCACAAAACTCTAGGTATGCATCCAACTCAGCTAC